CAACAACAACAACAACAACAACAACAACAACAACAACAACAACAACAGCAACATCCCGCCAGTGGCCAGACTCTTGGGAGGGGAAGCTAAGGCAACCTCGAGCATGGGTGTAATTTTTGTTCAGGTCCACGCACATGAAACATTTACGATGCGTTTTTGGCACCTCTCAGGTGAACAACTTTAGCCCGTTGGGGGTCGTGGAGATTTTCTTCGTGACGGCCATTGGCGGAGTTCTACCATATCTGATTTTGACGTTCCTTGGCCAGAATTTGCTGTGGCGCCCTTGGACTGTGGGTTTAGCCCAACGCTTTGGCTTGAGAGAGCGGACGCATGCAGAGACATCCCCGATGGATTATTGTGGATCCTTGTTTTCTCGCAAAGAATGGCGCTCAAGCGTTGCAGGCTTTATCCAGACTGGCAGATCAATTTTGGTCAGGCAGGAAGGCAATGTACTTTGTACATGGTGGGGTGAAACCACCCACGGCGAAGATATGGACTTTCGGACCTGGAGCAGCCACGTCCTGGTTTTGCTTAAAGTAATTCGAACTATTTTTGGAGTAAATGGTGTCTTTTTCATCTGTTTCCCGGAACTTGAACTGGGTGAATCCCTTTCGGAATATGTGTTTCCCTGTTCCTTAAGCAAATCCAAGAGAAGCAACCATGTTCTTGGGGTGAACGATGTTGGAAGGTCCTGCCGTTGACGATCCAACACCTTGCAGACGACCCTTGATCTCAGCCTTTGGGTCGGAGTAATCCAACATAGCCCAACCTCACTGTTAAGGGTCTCTCCAAATCCATTTGACATCACTCAACTTTGGATGGCTGTTTGTTGATTCGGAGGAAGCAAATCCGAGCATTTTCCGAATCATTTGGTTGGTGTTGACCACCAATTCCTGGCCTTTGGGTGAAATCTTCTGCAATCCAAAATACCATTTGACCCACCTTTGTTTGCATGGCGTGGTACGGGCCCTTGGCTACATCCCTCTGCTCAGCCGGGGCATTGCAACGAAGAACCTGGCGCACCTGCTGCTCTGCTCCAAGACATTGTTCTACCACCCTTTGTTTGTATTTGCCAGCATCTTGGACTCAACGAGGCTGCTGTGATGCCTTTTTGTTTGATGCTGTTTTGTTCAAGTGTCGTTTCGCTGGGAACTGAGAACCCGGCCCAAAATGGCAAAGGCCTCATAATCGTATCCAACTAAGGAGAAAAGAAACAGTTCTATAGTTTAAAGCCTCTGCAACTTCTAGAGAACCAAAGGAACTAATACATGACGTTCTTATCAGCGCTTAGCAGGGGTATGGTTTGCAAAAGCCGAATAGCTCAGAACAATTTGGCATCAATGGCAATGCAACACTAGTGTAGCAGACCCTTCAAAGTGACCCTTTGATATGTGGGGCTTCGATATAGCATTTGGGACCCTCATATATATATATATCAAAGGGTCACTTAGGCCAACTGACATGCGATAAAGAGGGTTAAGTGACCCTTCGATATGTGTTTGCCCAAGTGACCTCTAAATGTGTCCACTTTGAAGTGCCTGGTACAGCTTAAACAGCCGTTGTTAAATTGCACACTTCTATAGTCAAAAGCTTTGTTTTGCGATTCGATGCATATTTGTTGACTAGCCATTGCCTTTTTAAAGGGCAAGAGATTGTGCCGAACTGAGCCAGAACCCTCGACCACCGTTGCTTGACAACCGGTCACGAGGCGGGAATTTCCGGGTATCGGACGTCGTGACCTCTACAGGTTTGCATTGGCCATTTGGCGTGATGAAACGATGCGCTTGGACTTTTTGCTTCGGGATCAGCTCCAGGCGCAACGCTCCTTGGCGAATTGGATCGGAGGCCTGGCTTGTGTGGTAAATATTGAATTCTGCTCACCATGATGTACGGTTTTGATGGCTACTTTGATACTCCACAACATCATCCACCTCATTGGGGCTACACCACTCCCCAGGCGTTAGTAAAGTGAACATGTCCATTGGAATCCGAAAAGTCGAAAAGTCAAAAAGCTGAGTTCGGTTTTTCGGGCGCATTCGAAAAGTCAAAAAATGAAAATAAAATCCGAAACTTTGAAAAGTAGGACGTCCTCTACTTCCAGGGTCGAAAGTTGTAAAATCCAAAAACTCCAAAAAGTCTAAAAGTGCAAACGGATGTAGAATTTATAAGGAAAGTTAAGTTGGAACAAATACAATCTAAATATTATAGAAGCCTGCGATGAACACCCAAACGCCGCAACCTACATTGGGTTCTAGACATCCAGCACGAAACTCTGAGCCATCCAAAAAGTTATAGTTCCAGAAAAACAACTATAACTCCCCAGCACGAAAGCCTGAGCCATGAAAAAAGGTTATAGTTCCCCAAAAGACAGCACGAAAGCCGGAGACATCAAACAAAGTTAACTGTTATAGTTCCTTAAAGAAAGGAACTATAACTATATGATTCGTTTTTGAGAAAACATTCATAGCAGAAATCAAGCAAAAAATCCTTCGAATGGATACTGTTTGCTTGATTTCTGTCATGGATGTGTCAAGTTTGCATGCCAGAAATGAAACAAAAAGTATCCATTCGAAGGACATTTCTCTGGATTTCTGTAATGACAATTTTCCGAGAACATCATAAGTCATAGGTGTTTTTGAACTAAACGTTATTCATGGCTCGGGCTTTCGTGTCGGGCCGTGTTGGGGAGTTATAGCTCTTTTTTGGAACTATTTTGTCTTGGCTCGGGCTTTCGTGCTGAGGACTTATACTACCTTTTTCTGGAACTGTAACTTGCTTGATGGCTCAGGCTTTGGTGGTGGGGAGTTATAGCTATTGTTTTTGAAACTATAACCTTGTTTGATGGCTCAGACTTTCGTGTCGGCAAGTTAAGCCTTTTTTGAGCTCGGGCTTTTGTGCTGGGGGGTTATTATGTTTGGAACTTATATATAGTTTTCTTAATGGCTCCGACTTTCGTTCTGGAGAGTTATAGCTCCTTTTTGGAACTACAACTTTTCTTGGCTCGGGCTTTCGTGTTGGGGAGTTATAGTTATTTGTTTGGAACAATACTGTGTTTTTGGTCTCACGGCCATACGGCCCTGGGAGGCGTTTAGTGCTTTCTTTTAATGTTGACTGTGTCTTCAAAATTGTTTACCAACGTGTTTATGTTCACTCGCATGGGGGGGTGGGAGGGGGGGCAGTACGTTCGTTCGTTGGTTTGTCGAAGAAGATGATCTTTGGCACCCAGCAGCTTGATCAGCTGTGGTCCTGGATGAAGAAGTTCATCTCGCCGCAAAGCGAGAACCGATTACCAGCTGATATACCGCCACAAAGAGCGAAATCCTTGAAAGCTGTAAAGAAACGATCCGAGTACACTCTTTTTGGGAATGTCACAACACCCCCGAAAGGACGTGAAACCTTTCTCTTGGAGTCAATTTTTTTTGGAATAGTTCCTTTTTTTCAATCTATGTTCTTTTGAGGTTTGGATTTTCATATTCTGGGGAGTTGGCTCTGTTTTTGTGAGCTGTTATTTCATGACTCGGACTTTCGTGCTGGGAAGTTACAGTTCTTTTGGCTGGAACTATAGCGTTTTCATGGCTGGGGCTTTTGTGTTGGGGAGTTGTAGTTTTGGGGAACTAGCCTTGTGTTGGAACCGTAACTTGTTGGCAATTTATTCATCTTTACTTTTTGGAACTATAAGTTTTTTGAGGTTCAGATGTTCAATCAATGATTGAGATTGCTATGCTGCTACTCTGTCCGTGTTGAGCCTTTTGCTGTGCGCGGGTAGTTTGGCCACAAAAGGACCACACTGGATCCAGAGTCAGCCCTGGTGACACGGTATTGGTTTAGAATTGTTTGAATCATTATGAATACTGCTTCATGTGAACTACCCAAACCTGTGAAATTTGGCACAAAAACCTTGCAAAAGCTTTGTTTCACGTATAGGGACGATCTGTTTCAACACAGGCAGCGGCCATTTGAATCAAAGAATGTGAAACACCGAAAAGTAAAAAAGCTGATGTCGTCGCTTCTCGGGTGCACTTGAAAAGTCCAAAAATACGAGAAATCAAAAAAGTCGAAACGTAAGACGGTTTCCACTTCCAGAACGGACCTTTTGAAAAAAACACACACATGAACATCCGAAAAGGCGAAAAATTCAAAAATCGAAAAATCAAAAACGATAAACACAAAAGCGCACCGAAAAATCAACAGGTTGAAGAACAAACAATACGTCGAAAAACATTTTTGTTTCTCCCGCCCTGGGATTGTTTCTCGTACATGTTCGTTTCGGTTGCGGGGATAGCGGTTTACTAATACTAGTTTAGCCCGTGGGTGTTTGGTGCAAGCTCATGATGACGGCGCCCTGACCTGGCCCAGGACGAAAACTGAAAGTGGAGAATGAGAAGAGTGAAGATCTTTTGAAGAGCATGCTGCCACAGGTGCCCCCTATCGCACCCTTTCTTTGCGCCATGCCTTAGCTAGCACCAATCTTGGGAGAAGATTACATCCTCGTCAAGAAACAGATGTTTTGGAACCATGTTTTCAGGTTGGTCAATAGCTGGATGATCTTCTGATCATTGAATTGACTTGCAGGTGTTTTCAAGATCTCTTCATTTTGGCTTAGTGGTTGAGTCCTTTGGAATTCCTTTGGGCTCCACGCATCAGGGTGTTCACCCCTACCTAGACCTCAAGATCATCTATACAGGCATATACAGACCCATTTTGTGATCGACCCATGTGCGAGGCCATCATTGATTCCCTGAAGCGTCATGAGCCTGTTGAGTGTCAAGACTTTCAGAACGTCACGGCCGCTCGATTGCAGAGTCGAAAAATGCTGCAAACCGGGTAACCAAGTAACTTGGTTCAGAGTCCTCATATCGCAAGCCGCCGTGATCGCCCTGCCTTTGCGTCCTTTTCCAACGAAACGGGGATCTTCCGGGCGCTAACCATTCTTGGGGCATGGGTCACGCCGCTTGAATTTCGGCCCAGGTTATTTTTGTGCAAGTGTGCGACTTCTCAGTGATGTGTTCAGTATTGCCAGCTACCACGATTGTTCAATTGCTGGACAAGGCGAGGTGTTGTGGAGCCGCACGGGCAAAGCCGGGAGCCATTTAAAGAAGGGGTGCATGAGCTTTAATGTCTCGTTCTTTTCCAACACGACTGCACTTGTTTTTTTTCAAAAGATCCTCGTGACATAGGCAATCATGCAGAATCATACATCTCGTATATAGATGATGGACGCAAGAAAACCATACAAAACCTAGCATGGATGCGACTCGATCCTTGTTCGCCCTGCCTTTAAGCCGAAAATTGGCAGGTGTTTCAAGAGCTGGATCGGCTGAGTGATCTGTTGAAGGTGCACAAGGCACAGTTTGGACCGGACTCCGTTGGCAGTGGGACAGCCTTCTTGTAGCGCAACCAAACGTGGTGGAGGGGTTGCGTGGTTTGGATCCTGATCAGGTGGATGTTCAGGCAGGACACCACGTAAGGTACTAGGTCATCATTATCATGGCTTTTTGTCAGTATAAGACTGCTGACGTGCAACTATACTTAAGTGCTTCTAGCATCATGCGCGCGTCAGCCTCTTGGGTTTGGGATATTATATACCTGAGAATCCCGAGAGTCCCATTGACTCAATAACCAAACGGAGAGTTGTAAGTTGTAGGTAGATTGGCTGAGTGTGGCTGTTGGCAAAAACTTGGTGGATTGCACGCTGGAAGGTGACCAGATCACTAGACAGGCTCATGCACGCTCATGCATGAGCATGCACGTCTCCTGTGCTTTGTCATGTTGTCCTTCGGCCCAGCGTGGACGGAGGTAGAGACCGTTGGAGATGTCTATATGGCTGTCTCCGGATGCCCACATGAGATCGTGGCTTGGTGGCATGCCCCACGGGAGATTGTTACATTCGCATCCTTTGTTTGGCGTTGCAAGAGGGATAGGCTGCGTGAAACCCCAGCTTCTCCCTCAGAATCCTGCGGTTGATTCTGCATTTTTTTTGGCGGCTTTGGTCTCTGGGACGCCACTCAATCAAGCCTCTCAGAGGGTCTTTTCACGGTGATCCTCTTAGCCTGTTCGCAACGTTTGCTGAGGCCAATCATGCAGATGTTGCCGCCCACTTTGCCATTGCAGCCCAGTCAAGCATCCTCAGGCATTGGTTCATGGTTTCCAGCACCGGTCGGCCATGAAAAGGGTGCTGGGACAAGGCAACACCCAAAATGCCAAGGCCACGAAGAGTTGCAAGTTAGATCACTGAGGGTGAGAGAATCCCATGCAGATCTTCCAAATAAAATCAAATAAGATAAACAAGCAACACCAACGTCATTGGTCAAATCAAAAAGTGTCCATTGGAAAGTTCAGGTCTCGGTGTGTACGGAGCCAAAAAATCAGTTCGAAAGAAGAACCACTCCTGTGAAGCGATCGCGGTCGCAGGATGAGAGCTTCTGATGTGATCTTGCCGCAGGGTGTAAAGGGCCGCCGGCTCTCCGCTGTATTGGGCGAAAAGAGTCTGGATGCTTGGCGCAAAATACACCAGGGCCCGGGCGCAAAATCAAAGATCCAGCTAAGAACATGTTCACATGCATAAACCATCATAAACCCGTGGGTACACCTGACTGCTGGGGATTGCCAGAAATCTTGATGTTCAATAGGGCTTTCGTAGTGGCTTTCGCCTACCACTGAGGAACTGAAGAAGGCGTTATACTCGTCGAATGATTATACAATCCCTTGACACCAGAACTTAAGGGAGAAGCGGACAGGGACGGGATCCGCAGTGCTCCAGGCCAAATGACCCATTAGATAAACCTCTCAATGTTCCACCGCACTGATGGCTATCACTGGTCACTACTATTAGCAGTTATAGTGATAGTCACCGGCACAAGAATCTGTTGCAGTGTTATTCCATTCTCAGACGCAGAACCAAGGAGCTGAGGATTCGCATCGGCATGAACAGTGGAAGGATTCGAGCAGGCATGTTCGTGCATCACTAGACTATGTGGAATTCTTGTGATTTCGGAGTCCAGAAGGCAGAACCAACAAAACCTCGCTGGTAGTGTCAAATGCATGAGAGCTGCCCAGGCCGATACTCTGAAGATAAATGAATTCATGAAGTTTCGCATGGATCCTGAAAATGGGTGAAGGTACTGATTGTGAATTGTGAAGAGCAAATCCCTGGTTTCCGTGGCAAACCTCTTTAAATTCCAGCCCGGATACCTCAGGTTTCAATTTGGAGCCTGCAAATTGATTCTATGCAGGTTTTGGACACCCCCCGAGTATAGACATGTATATAATGGAGATGGATAGTCAACTCTTGGAGAACTCATGTCAAAACCAGCTTGAAAATTGATGAAGTTGCCAAAAGCCCCGGGTTGTTCATGGCAATGCCCCCAGATGACTGGACTCCGGACGACTGGGACCGCTATGGACGGCGATGGGCGGCTCATCGGCATTGGACGGAGCTCGGTCCACAGGTGTGGTGGGTCTGGACAAACCGCGCTTCAAGCTCTTCGGTGACACGGTCAACACGGCCAGTCGTATGGAGAGCACATCGGAGCCAGGACCGTGACCGATCTTGAGATGTCTATGGTTCTTTTCTTTTAAGGTCTGATGGTCTTGGGATAGGAGCTGCTTGAGAAAGTCTTGGTTGTTTTGGGAGTTGTTTGCAGGGTGTCACATCAAAAGGAACCGAATGAAACATGAGAAAAAGGAGACTGGGCATTAATCTCGACGTTGCGGCAGCTTTATGCCTTGTGGAATGACTAAAGTTACTCAAGTGTCTCGTACAAGGTGGTTCCTGGCCTCGCCGATTTTGGCACGCGGAATCTGCCCGGTACAGCCATGGTAGCCCTGAGCAGTCCATGCCATACAAAGTCTGTGGGCAACCTTGGTCGGTGGCTCGAGTAAATCTACGAACAGTAGTCAACATCTTGAGTCGGGAAACCCTACGGTTTTGCCCTGACAAACTACCCCTTCCAGGAACCGTTTGCGAATCAGCTGGTTAGAATTGGTTACCGGATCCTAGCAACCATCAGGAGCCCAAGAGTTTTCACATGGTTTAACATGTTTTAACCTGTTGTATAGGCATTATGAACTCGCTGTTCTTTGCAGGCTCCTGTCCTTTTTGGCTGTTCAGGATGCACTCAGATCTCCGAGGCTACAAAGGCTATCCTCGGCCCAGAGTTCAACGCTGAGGCACGACAAGCCGGTCTTTCATCTGGATTTTATTTATAGGGGAATTCTTATTGTCCATTATTTTCCCAAACTGGGTGTATCCCTTTCTGAGGAGTATATGTGTGTGTTTTCCCCCCCGGTTCCTTAAGCAAATCCAATTTCATCATGACTCAGAGAAGAGGCATTGGTTGATAGGGATATTTGGGGGCATTCGGATGGTAGGAAATCATCGACAATTTATACGCAAGAAAAGCACAAAGAGGAGCTAACTACCAATACAGCACACTGACCAAGGAGGAAAAGGCATGATTTAAGAAGAGCACCTACTAAAAGACTGCCAGTGTCTACTGGGTCCACTAGGCAAGACTAGGAGCATTGTTTGTTGATGACACCTAAAATTAAAGGATACTTAGTTGTTGCTGTTTGTTTGCTTTGATTTGGCTGTCACGCAGTTGGAGCTGGAGTTCAACCCTCGGCTTGCAAACAATTGGACAACACTTGAAAAGAACAGAGCAATGGACACAAGTGGAACATATGGTATTGGGCCGGGTCAATACTTGTTTGCCCTGGTTTGATCAAGTCAACCCGTTATGTTCTTTTTGAGTAGAATTATATATGTCGATGAACTTTCAGAGATGCAAGAATGTCAGAAGGCTGTAGTATCACAGCAAAAAGGTACATCCTCCCAACATCCAACACATACAATGTAGCGCAGAGGACAGAATTTCTCACAGATTCCAACATACCAGCTGCATTCTGCAATACTGTAAAAACAACAACACTCTTTGCTCAAAGGGGGGTTTGTAAAGATGATTTTGTTTCTTTTACCTGTTTGGGAGCCACAGACATCGAAATCACGATCCAAGACCCACCTGTTCGGACGGATGTGCCTAAAGTTCAGCTCGTTGAAAAACCGATGTTTTCGACTGCCAAATTTGAAGCTCAAGGCTGACGCACCCAACAAGTCTTTCCAAACTGTTTAACGGATCTTGTTTTGGAAGACGTGTACTGAAGGGTCTGTAAGGCGCTCTTTGTCTGACTGGGCAGGAGCGTGGTTTGGTGGAGGTGAAAGGAAAAGGTGCGCTCAGGACCGAATTTGAGAGATCTGTCTTTGTCCAGTTCTTGAAGCTATCTCAAATATGAGGCGAGTTGGTACTAGCTAGCCTCAAGTATGTGAATCCAACTCATGGCTCGGAGAGCCCAAGAAGCGAGAAGCCCTCCCTGAGCTAGCACAACACTGGGTTCAACCATGAGCAAGTTGAGGTGGCCATTGCTAGTAGGTTGGAGGCCATTGCCCTGTCACGTAGAAAGACTCACGATGGATCACCTAATTGAATGATGCCCCTGCATATCGAAAGGCGGTGGCACGGTCAGCAGCGCTGACTGCCCACAATGTCACATTCTTGCCCAACAGATCACAATAAGATCACACAAGAGCGTGTGAAAGAAAAACACAACAATCTTGAATTCGCAGCACAGTTGTTATATCTATGAATTACGTGATAAAAAAAAAAAAACCTCGCAAAATCCCTCTATAGGGCCAAAGATATGTTGAGTATGCTTTTACCAAATCAATCCTGCTGCGCCTTTGGACGGATGCAGAGTTTTCTCGATGCCTTTTCGTCACCGGTCCTCCAAGACCCGTGTTCCATGGCACCTGGTTCTATGCGGTTTGAGTTGTGTTTCAAGAAACATGATTGTGCTCACTGGACTCAGACAAGGACAACGCAACACATCCAACTGGTGGAACATTTAGGAACCAAAGCCATGGACGGTCACATCACCCGCAGTTCTGATCAATGGCCACAGGAAGGACTGATTGAACCCCTCAAAACCAATGGGTCAATGCTTGGTGCCTGTTCCCATATCTCGAAGCAGACAGCAAGTCATGCCATTCGTTCCATCCTCTTCGGCCGCAGGACCTACTACCTCCGCAGCTACAATGTCATGGAGACTGATGATTCGAAAGTGCAGGACTGCCTTCGAAGGTAGTTCAAACATGCTATCAAGAACATCTGGCTTTCCCAGACCAACTGTTCGAGGCGACTGTGACAACATACTAAACTTGTGTACTACTATTCCTCTTTGCTTCAGCTGAAAAGGCAAGAGAATTCTGCCAGAAAAGATCCGGGTCACCCCCCAGCTCGTCGCCTCCGGGAGTGATCCGCTTCGACCCCTCGAGGAGTCCGTGACCATCAAAGTGGTTCACCAGAAGGCGACGTTTTGGAGCGGGTCAAACTTCGCGGTTGCCATCGAAAAGATCAGATTTGTCCCAGCCTGACAGCAAGAGACCCTGAATTCCGATTGGTTTTCAACTGCCCTCACTATGCAAATCTTAAGATGTAAAGAATTGGTGGCTGTCACGGCATTGGAGCACGTCTAAGCATTGAGAACCACTCAGCGGAAGATGCTCGAGTCTTGATTCAGTCCAGTGCCCTGGTACGTTGAGACACCCACCTGCAGGTTCAGGTCACGCTTGGCTTTTGCATCTTCCATGTATTGGAATGTGTGATTCATCATGACCTCAAGCTAGATGACCCCTGCTCTCTCTCTCTCTCTCCCTAGGATTCTATATATAGTATGTATATATATAATATAATATACATTGTCAATAATTCTACGCAAAATAATACTATGTGTTTAAATAACTTTATACAATACTATGTGCCCTTATCCCGCAGGAGACTGCTTTCTTCGGTTACCCTGTGTCGTCACGAGCGGCCTCAGGGAGAACGAACGCGCTCTAAAGAGTTGCTGGAGAATGTCCCCCAATCTGCTCCAGGCACGGGAGACATCAGAGGAGCCTTCTCGAAACATCATGGAGACAGACTCATCAGACTCAATTCGGGCGATGCGTTTTTTTCCGGAATTGGGTGAATCCCGTTCTGGGGATGTTTTTGTTCCCGTTCCTGGAACAAATCCGTTTCTTTGCGGCCAGAAACCGCCCCCGGAAGAGGTGCTTGTTGACTCATGTTAAACATTTTGGGAACCACCAGGTCACTCAGATGCATTGGCCGGGCCGAACGGCGGCTGACCAGGCAACCACTTGCTACGGCGAGCAGCTGGCAACGCGCTGAAGGAACTCGTCTCAGCGGTCCCTGCCCAGGACAGCAAGATCATCAAGTCGGTCGGGGTGGCGCGTTTTGAATGAAATGTAGCAAAACTGAATTTCATAGACCTTCATTAGTAACCTTAGTGTGTCTTGGACATGATCATCTGGACCATCCTGGTGCATGGTGGTGCAGAATTTGGTGTGTAAAGGTACCTATAGAGGGTATCAGCAAGTTCCCAGAATCGCCTCGTGGCCCGTGTTGGGTCGAGTCTATTCGAATCAGTGATGTATGTCACTGCCAGCTTCAGAACAACTATTCGACATGGATTGCAGCAGTAAGGATGTTGGTCCCCCAAATGAGAGCATCGCTATGCAGCAGGTGTTCTCCTGACCTTTTGGAGTGACTACCCCAACTTATATTCATCAATTCTCCGCGATAAAACATGACACCAGTATGTCATGTTGAACCCATGGCATGTCTTTTCTTCATCCGTCTTCCAGACCAAGAGCCACATGTTGCACCGTGGAGAGTGCTTGGATCACTTGCCAAATCCCACGTCCAAATGATATGATGTGACCCTCTTCCAACAGCCAAAACAATCAAAAACCTGGTCTTAACATGTTCTTAATGTGTTCTTCAATGTTCTGGACCAAGGTTCTCACCGGTGGTACGTTAAGGTATATATATAATATTGCATGGTTCTCTTGGCTCCTGGTTGTTGGTGGCGAGCACCATTGGGAGTCAAACTGGGTTATTGTATATAGTTTTGCTTGTGTCCATCTCTATCCGGAGTGCCGCTTTAATAATCGGAAAATGTGTTGATGTCTTTTGACATGTTTGACAATTTAGCAAATCTCGACTTGATCGGTCATGAAGCTCCCACCAACAAAATATGTACAGTAACAAGAATGAGACCGATCTGCATGGCAAGAGAACAATCCATAGAAACTCACAACATAAGGCAGTTCTATGATGTTCTATGGCAGGGGAGCACTGCGGTTGTTCTGCATGAGGAGTTCCAGATTCGCAGCAAATCCACAGGGACTGGTCACCTCTTCGAACACTCTTCGTGGCCTCTCGGCAGACGGACTCACCTTTTCGCAGCGATCCGGTGGGTCGATGGTCCCGGATGATCGGTTGGGCCGATGCTTCGCATACGCAAGATTGTCATATAAGTTTTTGATGGGCGTGACTTACGAATAGTATGCTATGCCCATGTAGGTCATACCCAGATGCGAATTATCATGAGCTTTCATGTCGCATCTGCGCGTGCTCGACGGACCCTTCTGACGGAGCGCCCACCCTACGGAGCGAAGGAAAGACTGGGTGGATATGAAGCTCCTGCTGGTCTCGAGCAGCTCCAAGCGGCCAGATATGTTGGCGCGGATCGAGGCCGACAAAGTGGAGTACAAGCGAGTCACCCTGGACGCCCGGAAGGGGAAGAGGAGTCACCCGAGACAGAGAGATGTTTGACTTTGGGTTGTGGAGTGTGAAAGGCCACGAACGCTAAAATGAGCAGATAATGTGGATGGACTCTTGATTAATAAATCCCTCCCACAATATGTTTTCTAATTTGATAATCCAACTGGGAGATTGGGGGTTCTTAATGAAGCTTCTAGATTAGAACAGGAGAGGTCGGAGAGGTCATCCTTTTCATAAACCGCTCAAGGGATCGCCCAAACGTGTCCTAAGGATCGCCGCATCTTCTTCTCACGGACCTTGATCATCGGATGGCACCTGATGTTGGCCTTCACGGCGTTGCTGGATTTTGCCTTCCAGATCCCCTACAGCCAGCGGGCAAATCAAGACTCCAGAGTCTTGTTGTCGGCACTTTTGCTGTGGCAGGTTTGCTAGGTTGCTACATTCAACTTCTCTAATTATACATTAATATATATATATATTATATATATATACACATACATACACGATTGCCAACAGCTCATAGGCGGCTTGAGACACCACCAGTCCGGGGCCTAAATCCAAAGACTTCACTGAAGACTTGACATCAGGAGAGTCCACAGCTTGGGGAGAAGACATCTGAGCGTGTTTTTTTTTTGTAAATCTGACATTGAAAAGGATCCCAATTGCTGCAACCCTGCTCCTTCAAAGGCTCCTGCTTCTTCTGAAAGTGGCTATAAGCTTTCTAGTGTTTTGTGACCATGCGTTGCCACATCTCAGGGGGAGACACGGGTGTCCCCAAAGATAAGGCCAGCTATGATGGTTCAGCCGTCAAAGCACGCCATTAGTGAGTACTGAGATGATGGGGATACCCTAGCCTTCCAAGACTATGTTTAAAATGTTGACCTGGTTTTGTAGTGTAAGGTCGTTAGTATAACAATGGTTGTTCGATAAAGGCTATTTTATTATTAACATCAATGGTGGTTGGAATCCCAGTTGACAGGCAATCGTGCATGAACCCTGAACATTAAAAAAAACAACATGCACCACAGAGCGACCGAAGCAATTTGAGCTCAAAACTCAAGATGTTAATGACTTTGACTTCATGGCCGGTGGCAAATCCCGTTGGCGTTTTGCCACCATCTCACTGGCGAGCAGTCTCCCTTTGGCTGATGCTGCACTCTCCATTTCGTCAGGGTATGAAGCCTTTTTGACTCAGATCCGGAATCGCATTTGGGTGGTGGTTTGGAGTAGTTTTGTTTTTTTAATCCCTACATATTTCAGAATAACACCTATACAGTAATTGTCTCACTTGAATATTTGGGGATGGTTGGACCAACCAGGCATTGTTTGCGCAGAGGATGACGTTCTTGAAGCTTCAATGGAGCCCTGCGACTCCATGAAGGATGGGCCCTTCTGTCGAGGCCTGCCTGAAATGGGCATGGCCAGGCATAGGCCATTCACCTTGGATAGCACCGTGCCCCAGCATCTCTTTGGAGATCCCCACCAAAAGCGTGAGGCTGATCCAGCCAGAGAACAGGCGGTGCAGGCGACAATGCAGGCCACCAATGTGCTGAATCGCTTCTTGGAGCATTTCTCCAAACTCAAAGACACGCGCTTCTGGGTGATGGTTTCAGAATGTTTCAGATAGAAATATAGAAAAAAAACATATACATTATAATCATTATATATATACTTTATATGTTCAATTTTAAACCTGTGCTTGATATATCTCACCAATGTTGTTTTTTTTCAGATTTTTCAAGTATATAAGTTGAAATCACCAACAAGGCTTGATGTCCGTGGCTGTGGAAGGCCGATTGGACTTCCAGCGCTTGGGCTGGGAGGGGATCCCGGTCGCGCGGAGCTTCTCAGCGGGTCTACCGCCTCATGTGGTTCCCTGGTGTGGCGGAATTCGGAATTAGGGTGTATGTTTGATTTTCTTAGTTGTCCCAAATTGGGTGTATCACCAGTTTTCTGGTCAAGAATCGGTTATTTTGGTTCCCCGGCTTCATCGGCAAATCCAAGGTTCTCACCTGGGAAGGTCCTTGGCAAGTGGAGCCCTTCGTGGAGCCTCCCACTGACTCGCTGAACCAAATCCGGAGGGCGACGAAGCGGTCAGCGAAGCGTCGCCCCAGAGCGGCCGTGCGGCTGAATGGTGTGATAGGCGATGCGTCGCGAGCGAACGAGGGGTTTAGGGAAGAGAACGAGTGGTTTAGGGCATCGAACCAAAGGTTGGCATCAGCAATTAACCCCTGACTCGACCCATCCCTCATCCAGTTCGCCCTTGAACATCACTCCCTCACCAGGTGCCCTGCGCTTCTCAAGGCCGGTGGTGGTGCGGAGCCTCCAGCTGCGGCCATCCGGCGCGGATGCGTCGCACTTCGAGGTGCGTGGGCGCTTGGCAGGTGCAGAGGTGTGGCGGAGGGCCTATGAAAGGCGGAGCTGTGGCATTGGTGAGCTGGTCTTGGGAAGGTGGGAAGGGATGGGCGAAGTCCTTTGAAAAGAATGTGTTACAGAGTGTCACATGTTATCAACTGTGGTCCTTTGTCTCTAGGGCTCTAGGGGTTCGAAGCATCTGCACAATTGGATGTGGATGAAGTGGGGAGGATAGGGGCCTGGAAGATGAAGGAGGGTTGCTATAGACATCAAACGAAACATGGGTGAAGAGCACCCAAGATGTTGAATTTCAGGGACAGTGGCTTGAGAAGGTAAAAGGGAAAGTGGAGTAAAGCCAGGGGTCCGAGGAGTCTTCTTTGAGATAGACCCGCTTTAGTTTTTAGTGGTCAGTCTTCGTTCCGTTTGTTATCGACTCTGCCGCAGTTTGTCAGGTGGGAAGGTGATGGTCAATACTACTACGCACGAATTCTCGCATCACATGCGCAAGCTGCCACAGTGCTATGGATTGACAGAGACCCGTCGCACCGTTTAGTGAGCTGGGAGCATTTGGTCACGCCTGAGGGTGCAGCGTGCAAAGCTCAGCAAAAGGCTACGCTGGGGCTGGGGCAAGAAGAGTGGCTTGATATGGCAAGGCGGACGAAGGCCTGTATTACGGCAAGGTTACACTTTTTGATTTTTGTTGATCTTTGGTCCTCCTCAAGGTAAAGAAATTCATTGAACATTCAGTGCACCAGAGCGGTGGGGTCGGACAGGGTCGGACCTCCAGGTCCGTTCTTCCACTTCTTTCACTGTTGAGTTACTGGAGTTCATCCAAGTTTGAGTGTTCATAAGTCCGAGGTTTTCCACCCACATGTGCAGACAGGCATTTATATCCCAAGAAATACTCTGCGGTCGATGTCAGGCAGTCGATGAGCTTGCTTTCATTTCGCCATCAACATCTGTCCACTGGATCCTGGGAGAGCTGCATGTCTCCGCTGCCCGGTGGGCACCCGATGATGTTGGAGATGAGAGCGTCCGAATGCCCCCAGAGACCGGGTCCCGCGTGGTGCAAGTGCTGCCGGGGCCACACGCCTCGATTGAAGAGGCTTCACAGTCAGACGCTTGCTTTCCAAAAGATAGGACGGACATGGACGGACCTCTCCAGGAGCCTCCAAAAGCCTCCCCAGAAATTCAGAAGCGCTTCTGGTGCTTCTGCCATTTTCCACCCTGCCATCCGGCTCCCCTAATGGTTGGTCAACGAAACCAAGACCGGTCGCTCAGGCTGGTCCATCAAACAAAATGTTGTTGGAGTTGCTCGAACAAACCTGCGGTGAACATGTCCACCACAAGCTGTAAAGAAGCACGAAAACATCATTGTTTTCATCAGCAGGGTGTTAGGAATATGGGTATATAGGGGGTATGCAAATGCCGTGGTTTCTTCAAGTTGGGGTGTAGAAGCCCTGAGAACGGATCGACTGTTTTTTGTTTGCTCGATGTGCTGAACTCAATTCAAGAAGTCGAAAAGGGGTTGGGGCATGTTTCAGCATGTGTCAGCCTTGTACAGCCATTTGCCTACCATTTGACCTCTAATTCAGAAATAATGTTGGGCAGACAGAGCCCGGGAGCGGGGGGGACGGAAGTTCACCAACAGAAAATGTATGTTGGAAGCAAGCGGACATAAAGTTGGAATGAAAACATGAGTCTATAAAAGATAGTCTAAGTTTGCACATGTTTGAGCTGCATTTACATGTTTGTTTGCATGTTGCCATTGGAACACTGTTGATGTGCGTGCAACAATGCACAGGAACGTTAAGTTGCAGAGCTGTTTCTTTGCTACTTCTTGTGTTATTGTTGACCAGAGTAGCTCTCTGTGTAAAGTCATTCAAGGTATTTGTGTTTTGGCGATGTTTAGATTAGATGCTGTTATTTGGTAATCCGTCCTTATCCAACACACATCTTGGTATTCTACGATCGTTGACTCTGTTGGTCAAGGGATCATGTTGAGTCTGACGGATCGTGTTCTCAGTCCATCCGTCACCGCAATGTGAGGCGCTCTTTTACAATGCCGATGACATGTTGGAACGGGGTCTTCAGCTCAAGAGCTGGGTTCGAGGGCGCTCAAGCCCCGAACCTCGCTCAGAACCTCGCAAAGGTTCCCAGAAACTGCAGATGAGCGCATTTCGCTCAGAAGCTTGGTCAGAGATCAGAAGCCTGAAATTGGGGAGTGAGTGGGCTTTACCTTCACTGGAATTCTGGAATCCGAGTTATCCTTGCTGGCTGATTTGTTTGCCGAGTTGTTGGTGTAGAATCAAGAATAAATTGCAGGGTACTTCAATTGGTTGTTGACGGAGAACCAGATTGACGTTGATCCTTTGGCAGCTCAGCATGTTGGGGCTTAGGGCGGGTGATTGAATGAGCTATGTGGCATTGGGTTTGGATATCAAGATTGAGCCGCCCGATGTGTTTTCAATTGAGCTTGCAATGGCCTATCAACAATTACTAATTAGAGGGAGTTCGACTTAAAACACCTTTCCTCCAGTCATGCTTGATGCAGCATGGACGTGTTGCTTTTGTTGGCTGGTTTTTGGTGACTAGTTGGAAAGTCAAGCTGTAGACCAAAGTGGTATTAATATTCCTTCTCTTGCACAGATGTAGTCAGCGAGGTGTTGAAGGTGATTGTCCCCTACTAGTTACAGCATATTGAATATAAGGTGAGTGTAGGGGCGGGTGAGCCGCCAAGCAGAGGCTTTCTGGGTCCAAAGATGGATCTCTCTGAGGTTGAGGGGCTGAAGCAGATGGTCAAATCGTTGATGAATCTTGGATGTTTGGCTTTAAGTCAGATTTTGAATGATTTTGATTCCATTTGCAGGGCAACCACTAGCAAAAGGCTGTTTCAAAACTGACCTTTGCGTTGCTATGTTGGGAGCACAGGTTAATTCTCTTCGGAATCTGTTCTGTCAGAGAGCATTGCGACAGTTTAGGAGGGTTGCAGCCACTTCCCATTTTCCTGTC